CCCCATAAACGATGTTCATATACACAGCTCAGGCATATACAGACCTATACAGCTAGCTACTTGGTCCCTTTTCCTCACAAAATACAATTTCTATTAAATATTAAATTAAAAAATTCAACCTGTGACTTCCAGCCCCAATCGGCCCGGAAACCTTCACGTATCTTCGTGGTTGATACCCTGAATAAGGCAAAAAGCTGGCTTCCGTTTCTAATTTATTTGGCCCAGTGGACACAACAACCTTGGCAAAGGGGCGATGTGACGTAGTATCACACACCATCGTTCACTATTACCCTTCAGAACTGAACAAAGCATATTGACCTAACCTATGGCATGCTTTATATAAGAGGAAGATTGTAAATAAAATTATTAACATTTTATATACAAACTCATGGTGAAATTACTAACATAAGGTACTATGGGGCATGTTACACATCATTTAAATATTATCCAGTATTTTTTCCACACTTAAAATGGTTTCTACCCACATACAGTATTGTGAATACGTCAAAAATACGAAAAAGGCAGAGATTTTATAATACGATAATAAGTGCATCTTTCATTATGGTTTCCAAGTAACATTTCGATAGAGAGCATCATTTTAATATATTTTAAATATTTAAATGTTAATTGTAATATTTTAATATTTAATAATAATATTTTATTGTGATTCGACTGATAAAATTGAACAAGTATATATTCAACACAATATGACGCAACATTATCATCTCATAATAGTTTTCAGTTTAATCATCCTGACAATATAAGAATGAGTTGATCAAAGATTAAATTTGATTTAGAATGCCTACTTATCTCCAACCCAGTACGATTACGTCTTGAAAATAATTACACCTTCAGGCATAGGTATACTATACGATCTTACAAACGTACGCTCGTACACAAAAATAAACTTCATGGAAATATTTATCACACGACAAACACATAACAGTCTTACAGCTGTTATCTTACCGTTGTATTGCAATCCACGGACATGTCCATGTTACGAAGACGGCGAGGTAAGGAACAAATCGGAAATCGCTCGATAAACCTTCAGTTACTTCTGAGAATCACAACCTCCTATCATCACATTCTTAAGACACATCTTTTTACATCTGATAACAGAAACTACACAGCCTACTCTCATAATAACAGCTCGTGTACAGTCAATTAAACGTGAATGATTAATGTCACAGATATCTACGTCTTCATTCTATTGTCTTGTCACTAATCAACTGGACCGCAGGATAACCCTCAAGTATTACATCACTTTCCACGCACACAATCCCCTTTAACTTCTCTTCTCTTTGTCGGACCATACGAGGTCAGGGCGCCAGGATGACGCAACGACGCCATCATGGACCGACGCCTGACGTTTCAGATAACAGGCCACAACAGAAAAAAAACGATGAGGCACGAACTGCCTCCCTGAACAAGGACAAATAAAACCCTCTGTCCCCACCTCAATAATCCGCAGAATTCCTCAAATTACGAAGATAAATATTACGGTGACAAAGAGAGAGGTCAAGGCGTTTATAAGGTCACCCTCACACGCAATTACACCTGTTTTAAGTCTGCATTCAAATCACGTGCAATTGGAATAGTTTGTATCAGAATCGAACCAAATACTGTACAGATAAAGGTGGGAGGGGAAAGCAGACCACGTGATATACTTTGCAGAGCGAAGCCAGAGCCCTCACTTCTCCCTGTGGCAATAAACGTAACCCGAAAATCAATACCTACTGCAAGGGAAGGTCGTCATAACCCGGTCGCATGAAACAGCAGTTAAAGGTTACGGTGGTCGTGATCTGTAACACAGATCGCCTACCACACACAGTTCAGCCGGACTCTCCATATGGCACACGTACGGAACAAATAATTCCAGATAGAACTCATACGGCCTACTTTCCTATTGCACGGCGTCAAAGACCCCGGAAGCCATTGGACAGGAGGCTGGATGGGCCCCCGAGGTTGTTTGGACGCAGAGGCTAGAGGAAAAATCCTGTGTCCCTATCGGGAATCGAACTCCGATATAGTCTGTAGTCAGTCACTATATTGACTGAGCTGCCCTGGGAATCTAAATTGGAAATCCAACAATTAACAGTAATTTGGTTCGTGGACTGGAGTGCTGTGTTCAAACGTTCGAATCGTAGACTAGTATTCTTTTATTTCTTGCAACTGTAAACACGTTGGATTGTTTTTTATTATTGTCATTATTGCTCCAGCACAGATTATACCTGCGTTAAATATAAAGAAAGCCAACATTTCGCATAGTCGCCATGTTTATAATTGTTGACATTTGGCATACAAAATTAGTAGGGATGTTTATAACCTATTTTCACGTAAAATTTACAATACCTGATTCAAGGTTTCATTAGTTGAAATTAAATTTACTGAGTGTTTCTGAAACATGCGATATCACTTAATGGATGTGTTCTGTGCACAAAAACAAGAGAAATGTCTGTGTAAGTATCGGTCCTTGGACGTTTTGTTTTCGAGCAGCACGCCATGTTCAGGGAGCTGTGCTTGTTTACATGTTTCATAACCTCAACTACTCCACGGATTTCGATTAAATTGTATATTGGTGGACCAAATTAAAAGATGACTTGCGATTTCTTTTTGTGTCCCTAATTTAATCACAACAAGACCATAATGAACTAGCGAATTTTATGAAAAGAGAAAAAAGGCTCATCGAAAGCACTATTAATAAGCCTACATTAAGTACAGATACAATTCAGATCTACTATTTATATTCGGAAGAGTTTTCAGTGTGGTGAATATTTCACGAACAAAAAAATTCCAAGAGTGAAGTGCGATATTGGCAGTTAGAAAATGACGTATTTTCAAAATGTTTTCATAAGTGAAGACTTTCAAATCTTGATTGAAATTTCAACCTATGCGGTTTAAGTCCTGACAGGGTTTGGCTTTTCTAGCCGTTTTACCATAGTTCCTATGAGATATTATATAGAACCATTTGTTTCACTCATCTCTCTTCATACTGTTCCCACTTCTAACGTCCCACATCACATAATTTAAGAAATAACTGTCTATGGAAATATCTACGCCTAAAACAAATGATTATAGACAATGAAGAATTTACGTTGTGTAATAGGTCTATATTCGGAAATTAAATAATTTATATTGACAGCGGCTACATGTTTCGACACGCGAAATCTTTATTTCTGCAGACTGCACTTAGCAATTAAATTAACATGTGTAGAAACCTCAAGAGGACATTTTACATGCCGAAACACGTAGCCGCTTTACAATACAAATAACAAAATTGTTGTGTAGGCGTTAGAAAGTGGTAACTAATCGTAATTTACACTCTTCACCCGGTTTTGTCAGTTACTATGCAAAATAAATTGCTGTGCTTGAAAACGAATCTCGAGGAAACCCATACCGGCAAATCAACAACCAAGAAGCAGGTGGAAGGATGAGAACAATATGGGTCTCACAAAATTATAAAGTGGATTGACCTGACGTGGCTCAGGATCATTTTACAGTAAACATCCAGAGAGGATGTGGCTCAATATGGGTTCAGAGTCACGCTTCTAATAGTGCTGAAACTTGGGGTTCCAATACATACTTTCAAGTAACATTGTTTCTGGACCAATCGGAGTGGCAGCAAGGTCAAACTACTTAGGCAGCCAGTAAAATATGAACAAAGGTTAAGGCGCAACCATTCACCAGCTTTTCTGCAATGTCATATCAAGGCAAAGGTAAAGAAATATGGTGCCTTTTCTGGAACCTGAAGGCTCATAACCATGTACAATGATCCCTGTCCTGAACAAAATGAATGAAGTCCACATCATCTTTAAGGCCCATTTTAATATTATCAAAAAAAAATGCCTAGGTCTTCCTAGTAGTCTGTTCCCTACAGATCTTCCAAGAATTTGTGCACATTACGCATATCTCTAATTCTGCATACTACATGACCGACCCATCTGTGTAAGATACCTTACCACTTTTCTTAACAGTTTTAAGAAATCTCTATGAGTGAAACAGTCCAAACTTCAAATTCGACTGTAGCACCAAAAAGCTATTTCCAATCGGGATATGGAACATCAGCGGGTTGTTTTCGATCTCAATAAACAGAAAGTTCCGAGAGGTCGAACACAAAGTTCCTACAGAAAGGGGACAACATTTAGTACACATTTTCACTTCATCATGTGAATGAAGGAATGGATAAACCTTCAAAGTTGGCCACAACAAATTCCATATTGATTTCTTTCGTATTCCACAATCCCTCAAGTCTATGAAGTCCACTTTCCTTCAAATGCTCAATCTATATGGTGACAACTATCGATTAACATTATTATTCCATCTATCCACCATTTTAGAGAGTATTTACTTTTATGTACCTGAGATAAACCTTGCCCCTAAGATACATAATGCAGCAGCTATTTCTGATAAACATTTTGTTTTTAATATGTGTTACATGTTTATTGTTGTTGTTGTTGTGCATATATGAGATTTAATGTTTTCAGGGAAGTGAGAGTTCAGATTGTCAAATTCTGGGTTGTGACACTGTGTGTATCAACATGTGGTTATGTAATGTTTCAATCATAATGCCTCCACATTCAGCGTAAAAGTCCACAAGTTGAACATTATACAATTTACCTTCCCATTTTTGTACATAATTACCACTAGTATACAAGTGAACTATGTTATATTTGTGCAAGCAAACATCATGACAGACTAAATCAGAATGTTCCTTGCCCATACGTTTTTCAGCTGATCAAGAAATCAAAATGTTCAGCAACATAATTATCACAGCAGCCAACCAGTGTACCCCATTTTCATCTACTTCAAACCAATTCACATCCCCACATTAAATTAAAAAATTAAATCCGTGGCATAACAGCCCTATGAGAGCCAAAGCCGACTAGCTGGCTGCTGGCCTCACGTTCACATGCCTAAGCAGAGGTGAACGATCATCCAACCAGATACAGGGTGACGTGTGGTCAGCACGACGAACCCCAGCCATTGCTAGTTTTCAAGACCGGATTACGCTACCCATTGTAGCTCCCCAATTTCCGCACGATGCTGGGCTTGGCACCAGTCGCATACACTGGTCGAAAGCTCTTGAGAAAATTCCTTCTCCCCTGAGACTCAAACCAGTGCGTATTCCATATCGCCGGTCCGAAACATGATGCCTCAGACCGTGTGGCTACGGCGCGGGACTCACATCCCCACAACCTGTCTTAAAAATTCACTCCAAAACTCAAAAACAGCCTTTCTATGAGGTTTTCCAACAGACATTTCCTTGCCTGGCCTACCAAATGTCAGAGCCAAGTGAGTAGCACTTCTGCTTTGTATTCAGGTCTCTGGTTCAAATCCTGGGCCACATACTGGCTATTCTAAACATGGGATTTTCCTCAGCCCCTCCAGTAGAGTGCTGGGATAATACCTTAAATTAGACCATGACCACTTCCTTCCATTAATCAACCCCATCATTCAATGCATTACAGTCTGAGCTTCTGACAGCAACATTAAATACAACACAAATAAACACAAAAGTGCCTTGGCTTCGTCTTTCTCTCATCATTTAATCATCGTTACAATACTTAGTGAAGAGAAGTACTTTGTTCGTTATACTGTTAAATGTAAGAACTGATTTATTTTAACATTGAATATTGTTAAAGTGAAAAAACTGTTCACTTCTCAGATCTCAGCTTCAGGACAGTTCCTGTAACTGTAAATTCTAACTATTCTTTTCAGAATAAATTTGCCAAGTCATGCATTTCTCTTCTTACTTTATGCAACTGTTCTTTTCACGACTAACGCAGAATAACTGGACAAAAATGCCATGTTCTGACTAAACTGAACAGCTGGCAGATACCATTCCAAGTTGCATCCTGTTCCTGGGAGTTTGTTTCACATTCACGTGCATCACCAACCATACAAAAATGACAAGCACTTGGTCGTGTCCTATTGCTCTTACTTCTACAGTACAAAATGCTTCTGTACACTTTTTAATACAAAGTTCTGGGAGGAACTTAAATCATCTAAATCAGGCCTCTCAAACACACGACCCACTAATACCCAATATGAAGCCCCCTTAAATATAAGAAAATAAACCTAACATTTCCAACAGACTTGTATATAATTACAAAATTTAATAATTTTCAAACGTATAATCTCAAGGTAAAATATTAAAATATTATTTGTAGGCATTAGGGTCTCCTCCCTGTATCTGTTACTGCTAGGGTTCAGTTACTTTTAATTTAAAAATATATAAAAAATTAACTCAATACAAATTAGACTAACCCACTGGGAAAGCGTAAACAAGGAACATGAATGGCTAGTAAACCTAGAGATAGCCCACTGGGAAAGCGTAAACAAGGAACACGAATGGCAAATAAACCTAGAGATATATGGAGGATAAACATGGTAATGAAAATGAATGGAAAAGGGATAAAAGAAATTGATAAATAAGAGAAGAACTCAAGAAGAAAATCATAAACCAAATTGAGGAAAACAGACTGAAATGATTTGGACGTGTCAAGAGAATAGATGAACATTGAATACCAAGAATAATATTGTAAATGAAGATGAGCAGAAGACAACCCAGGGACAGATCACA